GAAAGAGGAGGAAAGAAAAAAAAATAAAGACATTCATCAGTCACTGAGCAGCTCACAGCATCAGTGCCTGGAACAGCAGGCACCCATCATCCGCTGATGAGCTTGGGCTACCCTGGGCTCCTTCTATTGTCATGGGAAAAAGGCATTTTAGGGTGCACATCACCTAAACATTGCAGGCACCTACTGCAGGCTGAGGTAAGTCACACTGAGCAGAGCCCTGAAGACTCCAGAGGGAGCTGTAACTCGGATGGATGTGTCTGTCAGTGGTGCTTAATTTAGTCAGATGAACATAATATCAGTGCCTGGAACAAGGCTGAAACCCAAGCTTCCAGATAAGATCTTATCTAGGAACAATTTTGGGTCCCACTTGTCTACAGCACACCATTTACTCCATGGGCCTGGACTTCTTAAGTCCTGTAAGCAGAGAGCTGAAGTCTGAATTATTCTCTGACCACATGAATTATATGAACAGGACTGAGAAGCAGAAGAAACCTCAGGTCTGGCATTGTCATTCTGTACTCCATTGCAAGGCTGAGGACAGCACCCTCCTTTGGTTTATTGTCTTGAAAACTGCTTCTGATCGGTGTCATCATCACTATTGTGAATTTTGTCTGTGTGAACAAGAGCTCAGCCTGTAACTACCAAGCCAACCAAAGCAAACAAAGGTCGCTTCAGAGACTGTAGCACCTGCACTTTGTAGTGGTCATACAAGAATATAATGGCTATTATTAAAACAACCACTTAAGCTCTTCCCAGATGCATGAGACAACAGTTCTGAGACAAGAGCAGTTACCCAGGTCAGCTCATTTTTCCAATTGTCCATCCTGTTTTAGAATGAAGACGTAAGCAGTGCCATGGAGAAAGGAAGCCTGGTGTTTGGAATCAATACCATCACATTGCTGCATAATGTTTCAGGACTGTCCAAGTGTACAATGGCACAGAGAGAGAGGCAGGAGAATTACAAAACAGAGGCTTCCTTAGAGAAAAATAAATATACTTTTTTCCAGTCAGTACTGGGCCAGGACAACACTAAGTGAAGTTTGTAGGCAATAGCAATGAGCCTTTGTCAAGTCTATTCAGAGTGCAGCAGAAATTCAGCTGCTACTGTTCTAGAGCAGCAAAACTTTGTGCCAATGCTGCAGAGCCCCTCCGGTAGCTCAGCTCTCACCACTACAAAGACACATGCTACTTCTCTCTTAAGACAGCAAAAAGGCATTTGTGGCCCCGGCACGCCTCCCTCCCCTGAAGCCAAGAACATGCAGTAAGTGTTTCCTCTTACCCCATATTTATCCATCTGCAAAACCATCTTCTGCAGCTGAGCAGTTTCAGCGGCAGCTGAACTCCGCTTGTACAGCTCAATTATGCCAACCACTTCCTCCTTGGAGATCTCCTTCTCCAGCACAATGCCGTTGTCTTCTGGAGAGGTAAGAAAAAGAAAGAGTATTAAAAAAAAAAAAGTCTCCAAGATGAACATCAGCTTCTATGATAATCCTGAAAGGCAAAGTTTAACAGCACACAGGACCAAGCCAAATGTCAGGCACAGTCTGTACCTAGTTTTGTGACTAGAAATTGTACGTCCTTGTCCCCCAACAAGGCAGAGAAGAAGTTAACTAGTGTGTAGGGCCAGCAAGCATCTCAGCTTTTTAAAACATCAGGCTCCTCAGTATCTTCAAAAAAAAAAAAAAAATCTTGTGGCTTTTTGCTTGCCTGTAAATTATCTAGGAAAGCAAATAATCACACAGGAATTGCTGCCTTTTGACCTTCAACTGCCTAACACAGCTTGGGAGTTCAAAAAGTTCAAAAGTCTTTCACTGCACCCTTCAAACTGGGTGCAGGAAGGAGGATTTCTTTAACTGACAACGCCTGGCTCCTACGGGCGTGCGCCACACAAATTTGATCTTCTGGCACCTCAGACAGATGAGGGGCTGATCAAAGCTACTCCCATGGCTGGAGCCTTCATCACATTTTGGCGGGGAAGATTCTCTGGTATTAAATGTATGAGTGCAGTAGCCGTATCTCCTTCCTGCAGAAAAGTGTAAAGAATTATTAATGTGAGTCTGCACGGAGAATGAATAGCAAAGTCTGGGTGTAGATCACTTGAAGGAATATCAGGAGAAGGGCTGTAGAGATAAAAGTGTTTATGGCACCTAAATTAGCAGGTCATGAAGTTACATGCAGTTGCAGACACCCAGCTCAGGAGACAAAGGACAGTGAGTAAAACTGATGACTCACAGTGGTGAGGGGATGAAGACACTAGTCACTGTCAGTTCCTAAACGGTACCAAAAGGCACGTCCAACACCAGCACGTAGTCACCAGCCTAAGTACAACTGGGAGACGTGGAGAGAACTGGACAGGCAGCATCCATTGTCACCCATGTCGTGGCAAACAGTGCTGGCAAACCACTCGGATCCAGCGTTTTGGTGCCTGAATGCTGGACAAGCCACTTGGAGACATGTTCTGGTGCCAGGGAGTGTATTAGTGATGAAGGGAAACTGGTTTTAAAAGAAAAATCACCTTCCCTTCCTGTAAGGTCTCTTGTTGAGCTCTGCTACATTGTTGCTGTAATGTTTCCTAGATTTCTTTCATAAAATGCATGTGGACTTCCTATCGTCAAATAATTTGGTTGAAATGGCTCAAGTAGTTGAAGTTTATACATGTGTGCACACATATAAAAAACCCGCATACATACATAAACACACACACACACATATAAAAACCCCACCATATGTGCTGGGGGAGAGATGAGGGGCAGAGCAGAAAGCCCAGATAGAAATATCACAGAAAAGCGTAAGAATGAGCTTAGAAAGTCAGGCTAAAACCAAAAATCTGGTCTTTGCTGGCCCATCCCATTCTTTCCTACAGACATAAGACACCAGGGAGAGAAGACACAACGTTGTAGATAAACCAGTCCTCAGTTCTGACCTTCTGAATCTTGGTTCTTCCGAGTGTAGTTCATGCGGAAGACGAAAGCATCCAGAATAAAAGCCACGATGATTGTCATCACCACCTGGGAGAGGACATGAACAGAAGAGATCAGGAGGCTGCTGCTGGGGGATTCTTCCAGCCCAATTCATCAAGAAGCTGAGCATTTGGTCTGTGCTTCAACTCTGTGCTCCCCAGCAAATCCACGGCACAGGGGATGCATGTTGCACATCTACCTGTGGGTAAACTGCTAACAAAACTCCTGTGCTGCCCTAGTCCTGACCCCAGGCCCAGATTTGTGCAGCATCAGCTCTGTCAATGCCCATAAATTCAGCTTTCTGCAAGTGAGGTGGACTCACACCTTTTTCTGGAAGACATTTATGTAGAAGAGCAAAGTTGTCCTCCTTTAGGGATGGAAGCTCCCTCTGGAACACAGTAAAAGCTACTCCTCATCCCCACTATTTGACCCCTCCTCATCCCCACTATTTGATGCATGAAGCACATCCAGAAACCTACCATGGTCACAATATAGAAGATCATGAAGTAAAGACGGCTCCAGTGAGTGGTTTGGGATGTCACCCCTTCCTAAAGAGGAGAGGGAAGAAGGCAGTAGTGCACAAAAGAATGCAGAGTCTGCTGTTAACTGCTTGCCAACAGACATAAAGCAGCATAAACACGATCTCTCTCTCCTTCTTGGCTCCACAGTTAGCTCCAGGGACTGCTGGTGCACTGCTCAATGCCCCAACTGGTCCTGGCAGCTAATCTGCCTCTCAAGCTGAAAAGAGAGGTTCCTATACGCAAACACACAGAACAGTTAAAGCTTGTGGCTGGAAGAGCCATTGCTGCTACGAGAACACAGCCTGGACAGCAGGGTGACAAGCTGGAATACAGAGTGACTTTACTTGTCCAGCTTGCAAAACCTGGCCTGAGGGCTGGTCGAGATTCCCAAGAAAACATGCCCAGCAGCATGCCAGAGGTCAAATGCCACCCAACGATCAGGACCAAAAGATGTCTGGCAACAAGAAGTGACAGTGTTGGGCCCATCTCCAGTCACCAGGGGAAGAAAACAGCGGTGGCGTGGAAGATCTAGCTCAACTGGCAAAGAGTCTGTGCTGTCTACACACATAAGGTAGCTGAGGTTTACTTACCATGATGATGTACCAGTCATTTACAACTGTCAGCTCAAACAGCGTGACTGTATACAAGTGGGAGAAAAAAAAAAATACAGAGTATTGCTTTATACATCCTGACCTACTTTACAGTGATTCTTAGATAAAGTATTACACAGGGAAGACCAGCACAAGACACCAAAGTTTCAATACAGCCAGCAAATCTGGAGACAGAATGCAGACCCTCATCACTACAATTACTTCAGACAAAGGGGGTTAGATCCACAGAACCAGAAGCATGGCTTAATCTATATTTCTTAAAAGAATCAGAAACAGATCTGACTCTTTCCACCAGAGACCTCTGAAATCCTCAGGAGATTTCTCTGCTCACACATTAAGAAAAAAATCACAGAGAATGATCAACACATTCAAATTATTCTTCATCAGTGGGTTCAAAGAAATGTATTAGCATCACTAGTGGTTCTTTAGAAGGGCAGTGACTTAAAGCCCTCCTTAAATATCTCTGGAAGTCTGGTCTGATCACTAGTCAAAATAGATCTGCTGGCTTTAAGAGATGTCTCCTTAGGTTGCAAAACGGTCATGGCACAATTAGTCAGCTGGAGTTCTCCAGGCAGAAAGAGCAGGATGCTGAGTGTTTGAGGTGCATTAGTAGGACTCCGGGAGAGTCCCAGGCTTACATGAGCATTACAGTCCTGCCATCAGCTCTGCAGGAACACAGATGCACTAAGGAACAGTCTTTGCTATGGACAAAATTTCCCTTACCAAAGCTGTTCAAAATGTTGTCGAAGTTGTTGAGATAGTAATAACCTTCTTCCACAACTGTCTTGTTGCCAACTGTGTGATTCACCCAGCGGTAGGAATCTGCGACTGTGCTTGTGCTAGTTGGAGAAACCAGGAGAAAGAATGAGAAGGGAACTGGAAAAGCCAAGAAAATCTCAAGGGTTATAAATACCAAAACACTTAGAAGGTGGTGAGCAAGGCGGCAGTTTCTACCTTCTGGCCAACACTTGCCTTTTTCTCTTAAAGAAAGCCTCTGTCCTTCACAGCTCAGCACAAGCCCAGGGCCCACACGGAGACTTTCTAATCATTCAGCAAATATTATACCAGAGAAACCTGAGTGTTTGAGTTAGACTCCTTGGCTCACACCCTTAAAGCTTGGCATTTCCAAGTGGTCTGCTACCATTTAAGATGACGAAAAAAAAAAAGGGGGGGAAGAAAAAGGAGGGGGGGGGGCGGGGAGGGGGACAGGACAGCTTAGTTTCTGAGACCAGGTAAATTTATCTTGTGCAAAGTGAGGCCTAAATATGTCACACATCTGGCAGAGCAACTCTGGCATCACCATGACAAAAATCTCAACTTTGCTCTACAGCAGTTGTTTCAAGAGTTTCCAGCCACAGTACCACGCAGAAGTCTTCCCAGTGCAGGTACCTGATGTGACTTGCAGAGCTCGTTAAAGCAAGCCAAGCCCACCACAGAGGTCTCTCCAGTTCCAAATACAATGCAAAAGCCATTTAATCCAATGTTACTCAGAGAAGTGAAGTGTCTCCCCTAGATTTTCCCAGCACCTTGCTTTAGTTGGGAAGCCCCATTCAGACCTATCTTCTGGCCCCTTTTCCACAGGGAGAGAGCGCTGCCAGAGCTCACTGCTGCTGGCTTTGCACCAAACCCACTGCAGAGGGGGATGGATTTGTGGTACTCACTTGCAGCAGTTCGGGTAGACCACGCCAGCAAAGAACTCCATGCCAACAATGGCAAAGCAATAGTAGAAGATCAGCAGGGTTAAACCCAGGCTGGAGGCAAAACCAGAAAGAACACTGTGCTATTGACGAGTTGCTAAGGCAGGGAAACACAAAGTCACAGGCTGGTTGCTCTGGAAGAATTTCCAACGGATCGGAAGCAGCACTGAAAACCCCAGACCACCCTCCCTGCCACTGGGCTCTGCGGTTCTCTGCCTGCTCTCGTTCAAGAAGTCCTTGGACAAGGAGCTTGCCACTTGCTGAAGAGAGAAACTAAAGAGCAGCCTGGATTCCCTCCCAGTCTGTCTTTTTCTGGTAAACAAACCTCTCTCTCTCTGTTTCTTTATTAAAGAACAACACACAGTGGTTCTCTCCAGTCCTTGGGTGCAGGGACTGTGCCAAGAACGGGGTTCTCTAGCTAACATGCTCTGCTCAGCTCTCCTTCAAGGGAATAAGCTCTGAGGATGTCCTACTCAAACACCAAGCTCCTTCCGCCCCACCATTTCACAATAATGCTCTCGAGTGGCTGTACTAAGGACAGGGGCTGAGTATATTCATGCCAACATTCCTCCCAAATGGGCCTCCCCTCTCACCAAAAGCTGGGATGGGGGAGAAAAATTAAACAAGCATCAACTTTTAGTTATTCTCCTAACACAAAAGCAGGAGGAGGCCCAAGGTGCTGGAGTGTTGCTTATCACATACTGCTCCAATGAGTTAAAAGATTAACACCCCACTGCAGCACATGGCAGAATCAGTAACAATCTATAGACTACATTTATATGCTAGATCTATAGATCAGAGCATAAACACCTTTACAGGTTTGACAGGTCCCTACCCTGACCCCAGCCCTAGACACTAAACCTCCACTCCCCTCTCCCCGCCATCACCCAAAGAGAAGTTAGTACCTGGCCATCCGGGGGAACAACTCAAACATAGTGTCCAGGACATTTCTGTAGCGTTTCTTCAATTTAAAGAGCCTGAAAGGAGAAGTCAGTTGTTACCTACACACCACTTCCCTGGTGTTGTTGGGAATAGTTAAAGAGAGTATCCCCAGTTGGCTGTATCTCCCAGAGCAACGAACAGCAAGGTTTCCTCACATCAAACTCACAGGATCTGCTCTTGCTCAAGCGGTCTCTGCTCACCTAACAATGTCCCGCTGTCCCATGTGAATGTTTAGGACACATTCAACTAAGCATTTACAGGATTGAGGAATCTCAAGGAAAAGTGTATGTCTTCTTACAGTGTGATGCATAGCTAGCTATTTAAAAAAAAGTAATTAAAAAAAATCACAAGAACTTAAACTGTGTACAGGGTCAGGATTCCTTACTCCTTTCCTCAGACACAAGCTTTTCAGTGTTTCCCCCATGACCCAATAAAAATTGGTGAAAGAAAACTACATTGTTCCTGCTAATTTAAGATTTGGCAACTCCATCAGCCTTTACAGAGAAACACAGCTGCCAAACACAGGCTTTGGCAGGGGAGCAACAGAGAAAACGTTTTTATTTTTTTTTCCCCCTTGAGTGTCATAAAGTGTTCTTTAAATCCTCACTGAAGAGCTAAATTAACTTGTAACAACAGTTTGCCCCAAATGCCTTCCACCTATGGTTCTCAAAGTGTTCTGCGAAGGTGAGTGTGCCTCCGTAACAGGCTCGAAGTGAGACGGTTAATCGGACCCATCTTACTGAGCTGCAGAGAGGTTACAGGCTGCGGTCTTGCTTAAAGTGTGAGAAGCAGTTACAGCAGGGTTGTACTTCACCCTAGAAAGCAGCATCCTTTGAAAACTGTAATTTCTGGTAATTCAATGGAAATTATTAAACTGGCTCAGACTGTCTCACCCTGACAGAAGAGCTTTTCTCTGAACAGCATCAGACAATTTAGAGGAGGTGTAAGAACCCCACGAAGGCAGACACAGGATAATCTGCCCCTGGTAAATCCCTTGATCTCTATTAGAGATCAGCTTAAGCTCCAAAGCACGGGGTTTCATATCCCATCCCAAGTTTTTGTTATCGTTCATTTTGATAACTCTGGCTAATCTCATTACCCCACGCAATTCCTGTTTGCCATGGTCACGTACCCACAGAGCAATCCTTGCCCTCTCCTGGGAAGGAGCTCGGTCCCCAACTGGATTGATGGAAAACAAGCCTGGCTGTTTTCTTCCCCACCTGCTCTCCATATCCCCCCGCAGCCTTCCCATCTCACCTCAGCAGCTGAAGAGGTCGCAAGACCACAATGAAGTAGAATGGCTCCATGTTAAATGCCAGTGCCATGAGCCCCAAAAATGCAAACAGGGTGACTGAGAAGTCAAAGCTGGAAAGAAAAGAATAAAATAAAGTAAGAGCAATGATTTATCACTAGTGTTCCAGCAGAGGAGAGGTACTTGGTGCTGCTCCAGCCTAACAAGATGCACAAGGCCAAGGGCAGAAGAATTGAAAATTAGCCTGCTGATGGCCTTGTCTACAGGGCTAAAAACTCATCTCAGAAGTCGGTCTTTCTAACCCAACAAATTTCACCACCACTCTCTCAACAACCTAAGTGCGCACTTACAGATTCCAACCCGAGGACAGGTACTCAACGGGCCCCAGTCCAGTGGTCTTCAGGAGCAGCTCCACGCCATAGACTGTGAAAGGAGATGACAGCCACGGTCAGAAATAAGCAGCATCATGAGGAGGGCTTATGCAAAGGCTTGCCCTCAAAGATGTGTGGTGCTTTGAGCACAGGACTTCTGAACCTAGGTTTAAGAGACCCCACCCATCCTCCTTATTCTCGGTGAGATGCCAAAGAGAACATTTTCCCTCCAAATCAACACATTTTCCTGTATTCATGGTGATTTCTCCCAGAGCAGTCTACAAAACATTTAGTTGGCTGACACACTATAAATGTTGAGGCACGAGCTCCCGTAGGAAAGGCCAGAAAGCGGTATAGGTAATTCAGTCCTGCCAATTTGATTCCTTCTATCTCAGTGGAACATAACCACATCCCATAGCCTCGTCTTGACCTGCAGGGAGAAATCCTTTCAAAGAAGAGCCATCTACTTTCACCCTCTGCCCTGGCAGCATCTTGTGGGTTAAAGAACACCAAAATAACATGATGATGCCCTGTTCGTCATCCCAAAATCTTTCGAGGTTCCAAGGAGGGGGGTGGGAGAGGAGCAAAGAGAAGAGCTGGATGACAACATCCTTGTGAAAAGAAGCCTTGCAGAGTGCCTCTGCTCTGCCTTCAAGCTTCGTAACAAGTGCTCTGAAGACTAACGGTCAGGGAAGCACTAGAGCTAACCCTAGAGCTACCCAGCAGTCAAATAAGAGGTTAACAACGTCTCCTAGATTCTCCAAAGAACCTCCTGCCTGCAGTTTTACATGCTATTTTCATTCAGTAGAGCTATATCTTGCTTCTCCTTGAGCAAGAGACACTGGTAGGAGAAGGGAAGTGAATTCACATCACTGAAGAGTTCTACGGCAGTGCAATGAACCAGCACACGAAGAATTTCTTATACTTGGGCTGAAAAGGAAGACTAAGGTACATGTTCACAGAGGGAATGATGTTCAATTAGAAAACTCAGCTCATCAACTAGTTCATCTAGTCCTTTCAGTCTTCTCCTCAGCGTGTCCCTGCACTCTGTGCTCCAACAAGACTCGCTTTGCTTTGTGTGGCAGAGAGCCAGCTCACAGCTGCAATCAGATCAGAGCTCGTAATGCCTCCTGGAATAGTCAGTGCAGCACGGAGCAACGTGAGCAACTCCACACAGAGCCATCACAAGTCTGGAGGAGCTTATCACATCGCATGCTGTGCCTAACAAACAAGGCTATTCTGCTCTCAGGGCTGAAGCCAGCTTTAAGAGTAACGGAGCAGCTTTTGCAGAGAGTTGCACCAGAGGTAAGAGGCTCCCCAGACTGCAGCGGCGTAGTGAGCTGTGTAACAGTGCGGCAGCGTTCACGCGGGTCTGTGTGGATGCTGACAATCCCTGCTAGGCACAGCATTGTTCTAGATGGAGTCTGTACACCTGTGGCTAAGTTTTAACTTCAAAATGAATAATCTTCCGGGAACAGAGTTGTCTATTCACCTCCCAACTGCTTATGAAATGACACAGCTCTGTTGGGAGGCATCAGCTTACTTGTGAGGAAGACTATGTAGCTCCACGGGACGTTTCTGGAAAAGAAATTCCCTCCTGCAAGACACAAGAACAACTTTTTCTAGCCTTCCCTCTTTTCAATCCCCCAGCATCATAGTCAAGAAACAAGCTGCGATGTTTCCTACCTTGCAGCATGAAGGTTTCAACAAGAATCCAAATTCCATTCACAGCCACCACGGTATCTGGAAGACAAAGCAAAAAGTCATAGCAAAGACACTCCTGGACCAGAGGACATCCATTTCCTAGGCTAACAAAAAAGTACCGTATAGGACAAGTGGCAGGGTCATTGTTTCAATTCAATGAACAAAACTGAACTCATAACTTGGGAAGAGTCTTCTACCCTGACTTTTCCCAGGCCTTTAACAGATGCTCAATACATAGCAGGATATAAGATAATTATGAGTAAAAATGTTTGAGTATGATTCAGACCATTGTTTTATTTTAGTTTTGTTTCCTTCTGAAGATGAAGGTACTGCATCTGTATTTCAGCTTCCTCCTAGTTCTGGAACAAGATCTCGAGAACCACTGGGTCCCCAACAGTGCAGGAGAAAGCCCCATCGGCTTGGGTCTATCGCTGCTCCCCAACATTCCAATCCTGAGAACTGAAGGGGCAGGATGTCTCCTTTTCACTCAGATCTCTTCACCCTACCCTCTTTAGTTTAGCATCCCAATTTACAAAAAACTTCTCCTCCAACATTCAAAAAAACCCCCAAATTACAGATTAGGAACAGATCATTTAGAACACAGGAAGTAGCACCACGAGTAAGCACTCTTTCTCCTCTAGAGAAGAGCAGTACAGAATCATTCTCGCAGGCAGTACAGTTGCCAAGCAATCCCTCCAGCAACGAGGATGCTTGCACCTTCTCAAGCGTGAACAGAAGAAGGTGGTTGACTGGCAAGGCAAGTTCCTTACCCAGCATCCTTCAACTGCAAGATAAAAATCTCAAGGGTGGTGAAAGCTAGCCACCAAGGTACCTAAAGCCAACAAGCTGACTCCTACAGAATCAGACCCCGCCAAGCGTGTTATAAAGGAGCGAACCAACGAGCTTCTCCAGAAGACTGGACGCAGCAAGAGCTAAGTCCAGGCTGCAGCAGTGGTCGGTATGAGTATGCAGTTCCCTCCCCCTCTGCCAAAACTCCCAGATTTGTACATGAGCCACGGCTCAGACCAAAGACCAGGCCCCACCACGCTAAGTCCTTGCGAGAGCTGGCAGACACAGCACACCAGATCCACGTCACCAAGGGAGCCTAGCAGAGAGACAGCGCGTTACTTCTACTTACACATGGTGTATTGGAACACGCGGGAGTTCACAAGGATGTTGATGCCTGCATGAAGGAAAGTATGACAAAACAAATGTTTACGCACACAGATTCTTCTAGCTTCTCCTCAAAGACATTTTTCATACCACTCCTCAGCACAGAAGCTAGACAGATTAGCAGATTATTAACTTTTACTTCTTGGGACTGAGTTCAAATTTCCTCTAGAATTTTAGCAGCAACAAACTCACTAGCCTTAACCCCTGAGATGCCTTCCCCCCCCGTACTAGTTCTGTGGTGTGGACAGAGGTAAATGCAGCTGCCAAAGCACTGCCCGTGTTTGGAACAACACATATGCTGTCAAGGAGAGTTGAGCGCATCAGCAGAGATATATGTAGGACTCCTACAGCAGCTGTGTTTGGATCCAGATGGTGTTAACTGTTTCCCACTAGCATACAACACTGAAAAAGAACTACAGATAAATTCTTATTTCCAAATGGCTACATTCAGTCTGGAAACCTGGGACATGGGAGATAAATCACATTTGCAAGACAGATCACACCGATGGGTATTTCAGACCTCTCTCCCCTTCCTGAGCAGCTGCACTTGACCTGTACAAGTGCTGCAACCACATCTTGGGACTAGGAAGCTTTTGTGAAAACACAAATCCCACTCCACAATCACCACTGTGAGTTGCTGCCTGGGCACAGAGAGAAACTCTATAATCTCCACCAGATTCAGCAATCATAAATCCCCTAACCTCTGTGCTGAACAAGGAATACAGCCCTCTGTGACCTCATGGTCTGGATCACTACAGAGCTTCCACCAAGAAGTCTCTTATTTTAAGGAAGCCAGGCCTTGGGTCAGAGCACAGGGAATATTTATGTGACAGAAATCTTCCTTGGAGACTCTGAATACAAGGCTCTGGCCTTGGAGGCTCTGAATACACAGAGAGTTGGTTAGTAGGCCTTCTCTCAGCTGTTTACCAGGGACATAAGAGAAGGTCCCTTCAGAGGGCTCTGTCTTTGTAAAGAAACACTCTTCCTATTAGCTGAACACATGCTGTCAAGAAAACACAGCCTGTTACCTTTAAAAATAAGGAATGCTGTCCGTGGAAGGTCATCAAACCAGTGCTCGCGATTTCGTTTTGCCTGGAAGCAGAACAGCCACGATCAGAAGTAGTCAATGCTACATCCATACCAAAAACGTGCAGTGATGGAGACCCACCTTATCCCCACGCTACCTGCTTCTTTTAGATCGCCTTTGTTTCTTACCCACCTTCTCTTTCATCACTGGCCTCCTTTGCTCTCTCTCCCACACACACTTCCCCTCTTCTCCACCCAATAAATACTTACCTTCCATTTTAAGCCAACAACTTCATAGAAATTGTAAAAATCCTTTAGACTGCAAAACAGAAAGAAGCACCTGATCAGAGCCTTCGAGGTGATTAGATCCTTAATTGTCCTTGTCACGCATCATCAGTAGAGAGTCCCTAGAAGTTATTAACTCCTTATTAGAACTGCAGCCACAGTTGATATCACTCAACACTGACCTCTTCCCCACTGGGCCAAGGGCTCCTGACTGACGATAGCCAGAACAGGGGGCAAAGCCTACCTTCCTTCTGTAACACTACAGCCCTCAGAGGAAACTCTGGCTCTATGGAACTCCACAGTTTTACCACTGAGAGGAAAGATGTGAGGCTTAGATAGCAAACTCCAAGGGACAGAGATTGTACTACTCTTCACGAAGAAGTCTTGGAGCATCTTAATTACTCGTACAGTCCTTTTCTAGCACCTTTGCACATTTGCTTTTCAAGACAACAATGAAATTTGAAAAAGGACATGAAAGTAAAGAAACTCATAAAACATGAGTGCCTGTCTAGGTGCTCAGGGTCAGGCCTGTAACAGCTTTAGGAGTCTGAAAGGGAGGACGCTGAACTTTTCAGACTCTTACTGGTGTCATTAGGTGCCTGAATGTAAAAACTCAGTCTTTCTCCCTATACCATTTTCAACACTCCTCTGTGACATTTGACTTTAAGGAGAAGCATCGGCACCTGTTTCATGGGAGACTCACTCCACAGCCTGCCTGTGGCCAGAACAAAGGAAGAGAAGGTCTCCTGCACTAATTCCCTCTGCTTCCATGCTGGCTGGAGTTAGATGCACCCACCCACCCACCAGAATGGTAATTCTCTGCCTCATAACACAGAGGATGACAGTCCTGAAAGCACCAGCAGAACCAGATTTTAATTAACAAAACCCTGGGGGACACAGCCAGCTGCTGGAAAAAAACAAAAACTTATTAAGCTGCGAGGCTGCACTGTGTGAAGAAATACTCCTTGCAGGCTCTAATGCTGTTCCTCAATTTCTCGCTCCTCTGTTCTGGCAGGGAAAATGGGAAACAGAGGCTGCCTGGTGACTGCCAGCAGAGCGCTGTATCCACAAGAGGGCACGCAGGAACTCCATCACCTCCCAAGAAAAACCTCAACTCTCAGGGCAGCCACCCCTCCAAGCTCCCTGCTTCCCAGACAAATCCTTTCAATTGCCTAACTCTATTCCCACATCCCAGGCAAGTTTCCTTCCATAAACCCAGCCATCCTCTCTGAAGTACAGCCTAGCTTCAGAGAGTCAGCAACTTCCCTGCTCTGGATGCAGCAGTAAGACCATCCTACCTGACTAGAGGAGTATTGCTTTGATTCAGTGCTTTGAAAGTGAGATATCGCTCTCTGGCACACATCCGAGGCTTGTAAAACCGCAACAGCCCTTCAAAGTGCTTGAAGGAAATTCCAGACGGCCTCTAGAAACAAGGCAATGTTGTCATAAGCAGCGACATCAGGCAGAAGCACACAGAGGCTAGTGTATTTAATTCTCACTCTGGATTTGTTTTAAGCAGGATTTCTACATTATTGTACGATGCCATTATAACTAAGCCCCAAAAGCACCCTAAGCTATTACTTTAACGTACTGAGCTTATCCCAGAGCACAGAAAGGTCTTCTGGCAGTCGGTCCCTCCAGCAAATGCAGAGCTGTTCCCTGTTGCCCTATCATGTGAAACTTGTCCAACCAGACACCCCAAGCGACAGAGTTCAACCACTCTTCTTGCGAAATTAGTAGACAGCCTAACAGATCCCATTACTGGCACTTTTTTAAGACAATGAGCTACTCCTCAGGAACTGTTCATATAATGAATGTGTCCTAAACATGATCTACTAGAAATGGGTTAGTTATTTTTGGGCCTTATTTCTATTCCTGCTCCACAAGTTAAGCAAGAAATCAACCCTCTCCCTCAGTGCTCCGTCCCCACAAAGACTTGTTTGTAGGTGAATTACTTCTGTTACGGCACCGTTTGCTCATGCAGTATCTAGCAACTGTGCTGTATCTTCACTTGTATGACCCACCCCTCCTTTAAGTATTGGTGCTTGAGAGGCAAGTCCTCAAGAGACCCACACTGAATCAGAGAAATCAATGATCTCATGCACTCCAGAACAAATTTGTCTCATTTTACCAAGATACTTCCATAATCTCACATGGGGCTGAAATTCAGACTGCTTTGGTTTTTTCTCCAGAAACAGATATAAGCCCTGTACCTGTTTGGTGATCAGCAAGCGGTAGGCATGCTGTATGGCCGTGCGCTTGTGCAGCAGCAAGGACTTAAACTTCCTCTTCTCGATGTCATTGAAAGTGTCGAACACAACAGCGAGAAGCTGCAGAGAGAAGGCAGGAGAGAAAGTCATGTTTTGATCCTTATCCTCTGCAGCTACTGCTTCTCGAACAGGCAGGAATGTCAGTCTAGAGAGGCAACTAGAGGCATTGCCTGCAGGAATTCCCTAAGTGCTACACTGACTGAGGCAGAATGAGTCAGTGAGAGCCTGTTGGCCATAAGGGATCCCACAAAGGGATCACCAGGCACGCTGCACACACACCAATCCGCTTATTTGAAAGAGGTCCAGATGTTTCTGGCCTCCTAACACTCGCTAGTGGTTTTAAGAGCTAAGGCTAAACCTCGCTCGTGCCAACTCAAAACAGTATTTTAACAGGTTTGTTAAAATGCCCTGATCTCTTCCTGGAAAGCAGGTTTGGAGGGCTGCTTTCTGGACTCACCCTTCTGCAGGAGCTTCGGCAAACACATGTCAAAATTCACACTCTCACACTGCAGTTATCAGCACTCTTCAAGTCCTGCCATACTTAGTACTTCCACCATCCCCTTCAAACTGATTTACAAAGTATTTCAGGCAAGCCCAGATAATAAAATGCCATTTTATGATAAGTAATTAAGACAGAAAAGGACAATAAATTTCATGCAACCGAGTGTGTCACTCCAAGCAGGATATTAATGTGAGAGAAGCTGAAAGATACTCGTATCATTTCGTTTTCCGTGATTTAGTTCAGTTCCTTGTGGTTAAACATTAAAAGAGTTCTATCTGTAGCAAAGCTGCCATTTCTAGAAGTATTCTGCCAAGGAGTTTCAGATTATTACAGAGCACTCTCAGGAATGGAAGGCTCTGCTGGCCAATGAGCTCCAAAGTCAGGCAGAGGGAAGTGCTTCATCAGGTGTCTTACCAAGTTCATGATGAAGTATAGCTCAATGGAGAGGTACACTATGAAGAAGACACAGGACCAGGGGTTCCGGGCATAAGATGGCATCATCACATCAGGGAAACTGCACCCAAAAAAGACACAAGTTTAAGCACCTAACAGCTCATGCTACGCTTCCCACTACAAAGGCAAGAGGCTCAGGACACAGGCATGTGTGTAAACTCACATCCAAAGATCTCCACATTTCTGTAAAACATGTGGTTGCTCATGACACAGCGAGCAGCAAGAACATGGAGGCATGATGACAAAAATAAATACAAAAAGCACGTGCCTTGCACATCCCCAAAACCAAATGGGCAAAAGGGGATTTATAACGTGGCTAAGGGTTGTGCTTTGACACTTAGCAACAACAGCAATACAGCCTTGGTGTAAGGGTGTTACGACCCAAGATTTATTCCATCCTTTGCTAATTTCCTAATCCTCAGAGCTCTCCCTGACAGCAGATCAATATTTACCCACTGTTGTTATCCCCTTTTCCTGGCAGATAGGTGAACCGAAGCAGAGGAATAGGAAGTCCCTTCACAATAGCAAACTGTCTGCTGACAAACGAGCACAAATAGAAACTTTCCCTTCTTGGACCAAGGCCTAATAAAGCCGTTCCCCCCCTTATTGTCCTCACAGTGATGAAGTGGTCTGAGTCACTTAGAGATAACTCTGCATCTGAGGTCACAGTGTCCTAAATCAAAATGAAATACCAGTTCTTCCCATGCAGGCTGACCCAGGAAATATCTCTCTCATGCAGAGGAAAGGGGTCACATTTGGAGACAGAGCATTTCTGCAAATAAACCCTTGGCTCTGCTAGACTTCTTTGAGGACAAAGGGAAAGACTGAGCTAGAAGAGCACGAACTTACTTTGAAGTGGTCAAAAGCACAAATAGATTCACGAGGCTGTTCTCTAAGGTATTGAAGTACTGAAAGAAAAAATGCCCATGACAAAACGTAAGCTGAATTTCATAGTCACATTTCATTCAAAAAACCAACCAACCCAACCACCCACAGGCACTTCTACAATTCCCTGATGCCTCCCCTAGGGAAAGGGCACTTCAGCATTGGTCCTTTTTAAAGGTCCCTGAGAGATGGCATGTGAAGAGTTAAATCAATTAAAAGCTCGTCTACACATTTTTGTAGTAGTTACTCCCAGCAAGCTACACGCTCTGGAGCAGCAGGAACTGGTGGCTGCTGGACTCTGACAGCCACAGCCTAGGGTGGCCAAGCTGTCACCCAGACACCTTCCTCCCCTGAGGACAGTGGCAGGTGGCTCGTTTGATTGAATGACACCAAGAACAAGGAACAACTCTGTGAACGTTCCCTTTGGGACATTGTGGCTTGGAGGAAGTTCTCTGCACTGTCTTCCTTCTCAGCAGGGGGTAAACCAGGGTAAAACTGCCAGTTAGCCTCTGAGCAGCTAGCATCTGGCCTCCCAGGCCACCACACAAGAATAAGCTATGTCTACACAGTCATGTTTGATCCTTAAGCATGTCAAAATGGGACTCAAGCTTCAGATGAAAGAATCAGTGATACTCACCGGATCCGAGTGGTTAGGAGAAAACAAGTAAAAACCTAGAGAAGCAGCGAAGGTAGAGGAGGAGAGAAGAAAGGAGGAAAGAATAAAAATAAAGTCTGTTTAATGTCAAGCAGCAGAGCGGTGAGTCTCTGTTCCCAAAGGGAAGGTGACACTAAGAGTAAGCCCTCTCTGACACCATGAAGAGGAGAGTGTCTGGACAGCCTTCTCCATACAGATTTGCCAATACGTGTCATTGGAGTTTCGCTGATCCGTTTGGAAAACAAACTTTGTGGGGATGGTTTGAGTATAGGACGGTAGCAGGTACACTAGACACATGCATTTGTGGGAATTTAGACTAAACTTACAAGATTGAGGAATAGCTGATGGAAACAGAACTTGGAAACCACAAACACACACATCAGAGACTCCTCTGGAAGACGTCAAAAGGAACTTTGTCTCAAAATCAAATACCCAGCTTCTAGACTTTTTGGATCTTTACTTCTGCCTTCCAGATGATTGCAGATGAAATGGGATAAATGGAAGATCCTGGCAGGACTCTGAACCTGACCAGCTTTACATTCATCCAGGCTGCTTGTGTTGCTTTTTGGTTAAGAGCATCACTTCACCTTCCATAAATACAACTCACCCAGGATGGCAAAAATCACCATGAAGAAAAGCAGGAGGAGAAGAATGTCAATAAATGGTGGGAGGGACTGGAAGATCTGTCGCAGATTTCTGAAAAATAAGAAAACCTTAATAAACTAAAACTTGCATGTTTTCTCCTCTGGGTTAGCAGGGGGAAAAAACCCCCCACAAACAAACAAAAACCAACAGCACACCATAGTTGAGGACTTTCTTCCCACTCCCTCCAAGGATTAAAAGTACAAAGCTGGGTAAATTAAGATTGTTTCCAAGCTACCTATCTGTCCTTTGCAGTCAGCTCTCAGGTACTGCAAACAATACTGATGTCATCCTGTTAACTTTCCTTCTCCAGACTAAAGACTAGCTCTGTGTTCCACTGTGCAGCTTACAGGCAAACCTAGGAGCCAGATGATACAATACAGCCACGTTCCCGCGTTGTGCTCTCTGAGGTAGTTTACACAGCTGAGGACAGTACACAGAGCACTGCGTACCACAGAGCCCATCAAAAGCCACTACCTATGAAATTTCCCCACATAGAGAAGGCACCAGGTACACTTCAGCCACAATTACAAAAGATCTCATTGGGCATTTCAGATCTCAGAAAGACGCTTATTTTCCTGAGATGCCTGCCAGATCAGAGTGCTTTTCCTCCACCCAGTCCCAGGCACGACAGCAGAAAACCCAGCCAGCTGACCACTCACCTTCTGACAGCACCACAATAACGGCAGTCCACCAAAAAGATACAGCGCAGAGCTCTCGTTATCCGGACGTGCGAGGTTTGGCGCACCAACACCACGATGGCCTCTATGAACTGTACAAACAGCACGCAAGTCTGCAAAAAAGGGGATTAATGAGAGGCACAGCTGCAGTCTCCTTTTGGGAAGGGCAAAGCTCTCTCCATTTATTTGGACACTTTAAGGATGGGAGGTGTCTCCAAGAGCTTAGAGATCTCACATGAATCATTTGGCAGCTGGGACACATGGCTAAGTCATCCCTGCTATAGTACAGGCCAATATTTAATCTGGTTCTTTGGTTCCCAAAGATGCTGAAGGAGAAACACTGACAATCAAACAGACAACTTACCTTTACCATAGTCCTTTTGTGCCTGATAAAGGTTTGGAAGCCCAGCCACCTCATCTTCATCGAGAGTTCAAAGACTACCACAATTAACGCAAACAGCTCCAGGGTTGCATGGACCTGTTACAATACAGCAAAGCTTAAACCAGCGCTTCTGGCTACAAACAGCAGCACATCAGAGGCCACACTTCTGCCCTTCCTTTTTCAAGAAGCACATGGGTTTGACAATAGCCCGAGCACAGCTTTGTGACATGCAGAAAAACCCAAGGCCACTCTTAAAGCTAGTACAGCACTCTGTTTTTTGAAGTTTCTATATTTATTGCTTTGTGCTTTTATTAAAGCCCATAGAATTTTCCTCTATTCAGTATCAGTATTTCCTAGAAATTCATGTCCTTTTTGGACTTGAGTAACACATCAAGAAAATGGATTGATACATTTGAAATAAAATGGCAAGACATCAGCAATGCAAACAAAAATGTTCTAAAAAAGTTTGGGACTGCAATTTTTTTTAGTGAAATGCAGGAAGAGAAGCTGCTGGGCAGAGAGAATTTACATAGAGAAGGGTTTTGTCTTGAAATAGATGTTCTGGACAACCACAGACAGGGTCCTGGTCAACCTCTGGAACAGAAGGCAGCTTCTGGCAGTGCTGAAAGACCCCTTCTCCATCTGAAGATGCAAAATGCACCACATAGACAACGACAGGATTTTCTTACAGCCTCAGCTTTAGCCACAACTCAAATTTTGTTACACAGCCCCAATTCATTTTGAGCAACGCTTTGACCCCAAGGTTGTCACGACTGTTCTACACCCCTGGCAAGGTCCTGGGGTGCCATTAACAGCTCCAAAAGCAGATCTAGATTCTCCCACCAGCAACAGCCGCTCCTAGCACTGCACGTGACAGCGGTACCTCATGAAACGGTTGCAGACTGACAGCAGTACACACAGAGTTTGTGTATCCCTTCTCTCAACTTGCACTTTGTGAAGGTTAGACATGAAACTTCAAGTCACTCACACACACAGACATTAAAGAGTTCTCACAACACTGGGAGGAGAGGACAGGAGAAGGTTTAGCAACCTCTCCCAAGCTGAGGTCTGTTTGTGTTCTAGGAACCCATGGTGGTGCTGGGGTAACCCTGACAATGACTTTAAAACCACTCCATCAAAGCACACAGTTTCTCAAGTTATCTGAAGAAAAAGCAAAAACCACACACTTCTCAAACAGTTACAAAATTTAAGAACTGCACACATTGATAATATGAAATAAGTGTCACCCTCATTGTGGTACGTGCACATGAGATGAAAAACAGATGGTTTGCTGGCTGGTGTATCTGCTGTCACCCAGAACAAGCCAGGTGGATTTTTTTTTCTTACTACTGCTACCTTCTTCCTCTATGTTTAGCCTTCTTTTTCCTCTTACCCACCCCTGCAAAACAGGCCGATTTTTTCACTTTGTCCCAAAGTACTTACAAAGATGCCAAGACGGAGCATAGGAACAGCTGGTGCCTCGCAGAGAGACAGCAACAGGAGAAGCAGTGCTGTGCTCAGCTCCATTAGGTAGAAAAGGTGATTGTGTGCAAAGAGGTAGGCAGCAAGTGCTTTGGCATTTTTGGGGTGAGTGAAGAACTTATCATTATTTTCTCCTTCCTAAGGCAGCAGGAATAAAGAAGAGAACAGCATTAGTGACTCTTGGTGCTATAACAGAGCTTTCCACATGAAGAATGCAGACTTTTATAAGGATTAGATACAATTCGCAACAGACTATTCCCACTTTACAGCCTGACATTGATCTGTTTATTGAGGAATGAACTCTACACACGCGGGACACCCCTTCTGTTCATAAGCATATTTCAGTAATGAAACTCATTAATATCCACAACAAACTCCTGCTTCAGAAACCCTTGAGCTTTTTCAAAATGAGGAAGAGCGCTGAAAGAGTTTATAAAGGCAGGCAAAGAAACTTTAGTCAACATCCCAACATAAACACAGCACTTCATTTACTTCCAACCACTTCCACATGTTTACAGACTTATATGATTAAACTTCTCCAGGACAGAACATGAAAACACACAGATAAGCCCCAGGGCACCTGGTTGACAGTTGCTCCTCCTTATCTTGGCCTTGCAAAACGTCCAGGAGAAAACACTGGAGCGCACGCAGTGCTTTCTGCTTCAGGAACGTGGGAAGACAGACTCCATGAAAAATTAACAAGTCTCTATGCTGATTTGTCATTCCCTCTTAACTAGAAAGCTTAATTAACATTAAAAGGTCAGATACTCCATCTTAACAGTTTGCCTACAACTGATTTTTAAACAGCTACATCATTACTGTTTTTACCTCTAGGACAAAACTTAGTTTGGGAAGAATTTAGAGTTTTTTCATGCAGAACCACCCAACAGCTTCTTCTCTTTCTTGAGTGAATGGTTTAAGCAAGGGAGCCTTTGCCACTCACAGGAAACCCGCCGCCTCTTGGAAACTGTCATAAGAGATCATTTTTCCCCAGCCGCGACACACAGATGCACAAAAAGTCATTGATTTTTAATTTTATTTTTTTTTTAAGTTAACATCTTTCCAGGTAAGCAATGACTGTAAGCACAGTAAGCTATGACTATCAAAGCAGAATAACTGTAATTGCAAATGGATAACAAGGTCAGGAAACAGAATCTCCTTTAACAAGTGAAGCATTCTTGAGACTAATTCGGAAGAGGGTTTCAAATGTTTCTCATTTACTCATCTCACAGGCAAGCTTACGTTCTGTTTAAGAACAAACAAACACTGCCGGGTCAGTAGCCAGATTGCGAGCAGGACAAAACCCAGCAGCAAGCTCCATAAAACACAAGCCCCCCTACTCAAAGAGAGCGTAGCTTAGATCAGCAGGGCATTCTTATTCACGCCTGACAAAACAGACTTGCAGAATGAAAAATAGTCTAAACTCTGCCTCTCGGTAGCAAAGCAATTCAAAATGTAGCTGGACAGTAAAGTCCTCTTATTCAGCTAAGGCACTCTCGCCTGCAGCTACTGGTTCAAATAAACAATCTGCATGCTCTTTAAGTTATGCCTACTTCGTTTCAAGGACACCGTCATTACGACCATTGGTCAAAGCAGCAGCAAGAATAATCTGCATCGGAAGGGCCAAGCCTGCTGCGTACATTACCGTCAGACACCGCAGCAACTCAATGACCCTTTGCAGAGCATCTCCAATAATCACGGGTTTAAACAAAAGCCCGGGAGGGGCTGGAGCTACCATTATATTGTCAGTGCTGCTCTAGCATACGACTAAACTGAAGAATTGCTGAGGTCCAAGCCGACCCGGTTGTAAAATATCAGAGATGTGATACTTCTTAGTCGTGTGGGGTAGGGGCAGGGAGGAGCAAATGGATTCAAATCACCTTGCGGTGGTTTAAGCAAAAAACCTAATGGGGTCCAAAGCACCTCAAACTGCAATGCAGAGGCTTTGAAAGGGAACGAAGAGGAGGAAGGAAGGACAGTAAGGGAACCCAGCAACAATTTCAGATTGGCCAGCTCTGGGAGAAGCTCAGTTTTGGTAGCTAATTCATCACACCAGACTGTACAGCAATCTTAAAAATATTGTACCTTTGTTGATTTAACAATGGTGTTTCCTGTAACTGGAGCATGAGTGGGGTTTGTTTGCTGTTTTTTCTTTTTAAATAGGATAAATTTCACTCCTGGGCTGATCCTAATCTCGGCATGCTTTCTTCTTCTAGAAACCAAGACCTCTACCTTCTCTCATGTCTCACATGACCTGCAGGGTCTGACTGATGCTAAATGAACATCCTAGGGCCTCCCACCAGATCTGTGGCCAAGGCTGGATTAGGACCTGCACTCCCAGAACACAAGATGTCTCCAGGAGAGCACTGACCATTCATCTGGAGCAACTGAAGAGATAAAATGATGATCTATGACAAGTTATGCAAATCTCCATGGCAAGGTGGCAGAACTGAACACGTGCTGGATCCCTCAACTACTACAGTCCTTGACACTGGGAGAGATGAGAGAGGATGGGTAGCTCATTCAGTTGCTCCCAAATGATTTGCCAGAGCCCATCCGAAGCTGCTTCCAGCATCTCCCCACTCTTTGAGCAGATTCCTTTGCAAAGGACCAATTTTTTTAACATCAAAATGGAAGCTCTTTGCTTCTTATAATCAAGAACTACCATAGTTTCAGAAGTCCATTTTTCACCCAATGCCACAAACAGTAGGGCTCACCTGGAGGTAGATTGCTGCCTCTTGGTAGTTCATTTCCCAGTTGTGCTGGGCAGAGCTTTGCTGTGCGCAGCAGTCCCCCGCAGCAGGGCTGGATGCGTCATTAACAACATCATAGGTACCTCCATCTGCATCAGTACAATAAGAGGAAAATTGATATGCAATTAAGCGAGCTGAGATTGATCAGGAAGCATGCAAACAAGGCAGGCACTGGGACCAGAGAAAAGCATCAAGGGGTGGCAGAGTACCCGGGAAACTGGCAGCTTGTACACAGACAAATTGACTCTTCCCATGTAGGAGCTTTTAAGAGACACGCTCAAATTCAGCACTTCAACACAGGAATGCTCCCAGAAGATCATCAAAAGAGATAGCATCCTATTCAATACAATAAGCAGGTCTCCTGGCTCAGGAGATCTGTGCTGTCATGTTCGTAGCACACTATCAGCAGTCATAAACTATAAACACGCAGCTAACAGCTAGAAGTCTCCGAGGATGTCCAACCCACAAAATGCAAGCAGGCTTGCTAAAGGAACACTGCCTTTTCACATTTAATGGTCAGAAGAATGGAGTACAGGACTACCACAGAAGGGAAAACAGTGTGAGTATAGAAGCTGTATAGTACAGTAATAGCAGCAGTCAATATTTTTTAGTAGAAAGCCTCATTTTTCCGAGCTCTACAGAGTCATTAAACCATACATTTGTGCAACACTCTTTTTGGTGCAGGTAAGTACCAATACTCCTCTGATGAAAACAAACAGCAAGATTAATTTTCTGTTCGTATCTCGTAGATTGATTCTGAACCTGCTAAGAGTGTGTCTGTCTCATCAGTAAAGCACTATAAAACAATGACCATTTGTACCAGATTTCATAACTAAAAATTTCATTAAGAAAATACAATTCTATTGCAAAAAACAACTCCCAAGCGTAGCTACACATGCACAGTGCCCTTCCCATCGGAGAGCTACGCAGGGCACGTATATAAACTCCAGAATACTCGCCATTTTTTGCATTCTACAGTCTCAGTGCTATTAAGACACATGAAAAACATGCAGGAAGACAATTATTGTTCAAAAAGGGAGTGTCACTGGTTTCTTCTTCTGGGACTGGGATTTTTATTTTGCACCTTTGACAAAGAATACTGAGCAGAGACCCCACAGAAGTGAGACCTTCTTAAGGCCACGCATGAAACCAGCGGTGGAGCTGGCCACGCACTCCACTCTCCAGAATTTCAGCCATTACCCAAACCGCATGGTTGTTCTTGCTCTCAGTGGAGACTTCCCTCCTCCAGTGCCTCATGTTCCCAAAGAGGGTCCATGTAAAATTGATCTTGTCAGTGCAAAAGTGCTGATTTTCCCCTTTTTAGGAGCACAGAAGCTGTGAAACGGTAGCTTGTTCTCTCTGTGTTAGGAGAAGTTATGTGAGAGTGGGGAAAAAAATGAAAATGAGGTTCTTTTCCTCTCTCATGACAGCATGCTGAAGATTTGCAGCATCTCTTTGCTATGACAAAATAATCCACATTGAATTACTGCTTCAGCCTTTCCAGAACAACCTCTGGGGTGGAAAGAGAGTCCACGCCAAAAACTGCACCCATCGAGAGAAACGGTGCTGTCTGCTCATGACAGAGGCAGGGAGTGGGAAGAAATTAGAAACTCCTTCACCAATGCAGAGCCACGGCTGCCTTTTCCACCCTCAAATCAAATTAAAATAACATTATCTGGGATTTGTGAAGACTTTCCAGATTGCATACTCAGATTGCTGAGAATCCTGCAGCATTTAAGCCCATTTCTCTTCCTTGCTTCCCCCATACCCTTAAAATAGCACTCAAAATCTGGACGAATGTTTGAATGAGGCTGATTCCTCCCCCACACCCCTTCTACACCTTGAAAGATCACAGTTCTTGAAATGAGCTGAATCATAGAGATTTTATTTATCCACAGAATCAGAATGGCAGTCTCCTGGGTTTGTTTGCTTTTAACTAAAAAATGACAGAAATATGCAAAAAATCAGAAGCTCTAAAAAGTTTTAAAATGTTATTATCTATAAAGCTTTCACTGTATACCTGTGTCAGAGTGACATGCTCCCTCAAACTGCAGCCTGATAGCAAAAACCTTTTTGCATTTAATGTTTAACAGAGCTGCAGCAGGAGCACATCATCAGAACCTGGACTCACTGCTGAAGATCTTTCCTGCCTAGAAGACAACTATTTTCCAATCCTCGTTCCCATCCTAACGGATCGTTTGCCACCAGACAAAACCCACTGCAGTCCCTGGGGCACTAAGCTGGGTCACAGCAGAGGCAGAGCACAAAGCGGCCTCCAGCCTCAAAGACCTCAAGTATTACCACAGACAGGCACAGAGCTATCAAACAACCCCAAAATTTTGCTGAGGCACACAAGTGACACATAACCTGCTGTCTGAAGGTGCCCAGAGCCATCTCACACAGTTCAGGGGATATTGAAAAAGCGCAGAATCAACACCTTGGCTGCACTAAAGAGGAAGGAAGACAGTATTACCATGTTATTGGAGGATTACAGTACATACAAAATTTAAGAACATCATTTAAGAATGTACTGTGGTCAAATCAGCAAAGGTTTGTAGTATTAAACAAAACACCAAAAACACCCTACCAAAAGACGCCAAAACTACCTTTAACCCTGACGTCGTTCATTCGCAAAGACCAACCTCTCTTTGGAAGGGACCAACACTTAGAAAGGAAACACCACAGTAAAAACCCAGGACCCCTCTCTGCATTTCACACAGAGGACTCACAGCTGAAGTAGAAGAGGTGTCTCAGTGAGATCAAGGTTGTGAATACAAAACAGCACTCAAAGATGCAAATCAGAAACAAAAAATAACTCTAGACACGAGGAAAACGTTTTGGTTTCTAAGCCAGACATCATCTTTCTAGGCATAGACAACAGAAAATGTCCTGGTGAAGTGTTCCGCTAGGGAGCTGCATTTTGTGGATCAGCTCCTTCCCCATCAGGTACCAGAAGGTTGATCCAGCATCCCTGAGGCAACAGCATCATCTGGGTAATAAATAATAATAAAAATAATAATAAATTTGAAAAGCAACCCTCTGACTGTTTGCTTGGCAGCCCTCCAGCTAGCTAATTTCCTCAGCTGCTCCCATGATAACAATGACACAGACTAATGCAACCTCCGCTCCGCTCAGCTCGTGCTGCAGAACATCCCCGATGGCATTTACCATTAGTATCGAGCTCAATGAGATAGGAGGATCTCTCCGCAGGACTCCCGTAATCCTCAAAGTAGATGGCAGGCGGCTCTCTCCACCACATGGCAGCAGCCGTGTCGGGAAGCAGGCATGCTTGTGTTCAGAGTTGGGGAGAGGGAGACAAGTCAGATCTGAAGTTCCTTCCTCCCTCGCCTCCGAAAGCTGATCCTCAATTTCGCAGTTTCCTCAAGGGAAAGCTACGCACAAAAGATTTTCCTCTGTGCTCTGCAGAACTAAACGCTTTCTCCCCTCCCCTCTGAGGAAGGTGGCTCAGACTCAGCTAAATCGTTTCCCTATCGCTGTCTTAGTGGCAGGATGTTTCTAAGTGCAAGTTGTTGGAAGGCTTAGCTGCAGGACAAAGAGCTTTTAAGCATGAAGCCTTGCTTTACCACCACGCTCGTGTGCCGTGCTCTCTTATTTTGACATATAGCAGAATTTGCTCACAAGAGAACACGAACAACTAATGGGAAAGGAGTCAAAGTGCTGACTAGTCACAGCAAGGAGTCTTCCCCCCCGCCCCACAAAAAAAAGAAAATAGAAATTTGTGAAGTTCATGGTACAAGGGGCGTGACAAAGTAAACGAACTGAGCTGTTCACAGATGGCAAAGCTTCCTTCCACACTTGTGTAACTTATCCCAGACGTTCCCTGAAAAGGGAGAGAGGGAGGAGAAAAAAAGAAAAGATAAAAAAAAGAAAAAGCAAAACCAGCTGGCTGCTTACACAAGGCATCCGGAACGATACTGCCGGGACTCCAACATTTCCATTCAGTGCAGCAGAGCATGCTCCTGTGTAAATAGTTTCCATATGTCATCATTACAATAAAAAACAAAAAACAAAAAGGAAAGAAAGAGGAGGAGTATAAACTTTCCAGAGCCCAAACCTCTCCCTTTGCAAAACAAATTCCCTGCTTAGGGGAAGGAAAAACTCTCCGTTGGCTGAGAGAGCAAACAAACTCCTCTCATTCGGAGGAGCTCAGGCGGCCGCGGGGGATCTCGAGGGCAGAGCCGAGAGCAGAATAAGGGACAGAAAACATTCACAGGAACCAGGGATAAATCACCCTTCCCAGCCAGGCTATTATATGGCAAACTGAAGTCAATTTGGACTTTCATTGTTTGATCTTTGGTGTCTGCATTTGTTTTAATTAATAATAATAAAAAAAATCCAACAAACAGGTAACCTCCTACAAATTCAAAGAGTTACAAACAAACTCTACAGGGTAGCTCTTCCATTTGCCTCAGAGCTCCCCCAGTCTGGCTCTCATTAGCCTGTTTGCCAGATGTTCTGCTTTCTAGATAGCGCACACTTTTTATGGCGTTACTCTGAAACAGACTGAGATGCCTCTAATTAGCTCCTCGACTGACTCTCACCCACGTGCCTTTACCGGACTCACCAGGGCTTTCTCCTAAAAGGTTGAGGAATGTCTTGATGGAGCTGCTAGTTGCCATCTGATGCTATTTTAACAAATATACCTGTGATGACAGAAGCCTGCAAACTGTGTGGAAGGCAGGGCAAGTGACATAAATTCAGCAAAAACATTCATACAGTTAAATCTGTCATTCATGCTGTTTACATATCACATCTGTAATCAATGTAAGACAGCAATATGTAAGTTCCTCCTCTGATGAGTTGCACGTGCAAGTAATATTTCTCTTGATAGGCAAAAAAAGAAACGTCAAGGACACATGACTTTGGAGACAGGACACAATTTCATTCACATTGGCTGACAAGGTTCCTGCAAGTGGATGCACCGAAGAGAGCAGCAAGAGAGAAAAGCAAGCAAGGCGTCACCTCCCGCAGCCGGGAAACGTCAAGCTGTCCAGGGCACGCACTCCGGACAGCTCCAGCAACCCTCTCGGACAACCAGAGGCCTGCCAGCTGATAAAACACTCTGCAG